ATCCTACCCACTATTTGTACAATAAGGTCAAGCTGTCTGATAATGAATACATTTACAAGGGTACAACTGTACGATTCCAAGACAGTTCCCACACAAGTAGCTTTGTCATAGGCCCACGCTGTATTTGATAGTAGACATAAATGATACCCTCCCGTGCCCTTTTATTATTAGCCCAGAGGTTTATTAGGGAACTAGGGTTCAGTATTTAATGTAATATCCTTGTCTGTGATGAGCCCATCAAAATTACATAGAGAATGCGATCAGTAGTGCTGAACAGCCAAGCTACTGTATGTGAAAGTCGATGTGCCAGCAGAGTAATTATGGAGTAATGAAAACTTGTTATGAAGTTGCCTAATCGATCTAGGCCCTGTGTATTATGTCTTACTTAGAAAGGGTAATGATGTTTTGGGGCAAGCCTTGATGTGTTTTTATTAGCAATCATGTTGTTGGGTAATGTCTTTCAGTATGTATAATCCTGCAATCATACAGTGGAAATGGTTAACAGAATAATTAAGAAATATATTAAGAAAAGAGATCGTCAGTCACACAAACTGCTTTCTAGATTCAAGTACTCTTCATAATTTGACCGAGATAGCTTCTCCATTTCTTGTTTATCAATTTCTCGTATTTTCTTGTCATTGTTGGCAATTACCACAAAGTATAATGTTCTTTACCATTCATGGGATATACAATTGTGAGGCTAATATGAAACCATCCTTCAAGTCAAGTGAAATAACCTTTGGTTTTCACTGGCAGGTGAGCAAAAGCTCTGTTTGTTGAGCTCTTTATCCAGCCTATAAGACTTGTTCAGTTCCGGCGCCTAGACTATTTATCTACCTGGTAGTGGTCCTGGCCTGGGCTGTTATTTATCTTGTAAGGTCAAGCAGTGTCTAACAACGCTCATTATGGCTAGATTATTACTGCATGAAACTTGCGTTAAATAACAGCATAGCATATCTCTTGCACACACCTCACGCTGGCTGTCAGAGCAAGGACGAATAAAACCAGGGGCGTTATTGAAGAGGTGTGACCGGCTTGTGAAAGACCCAGGAACAACAAAGGACTTGGGATCTGGTAATGTTATAAGGATGTCGCATGTATACTCCTCACAGCCGACCGACAGAGAAAGGTGGACAAAAAGAGAATGGGAGAGAGGGGTGAAGAGAAAGAGAAAATGGAGAGAGAGAGAGAGAGAGCGTGTGTGTGTGTTGGAGGGGGTGAGGTACATGGGAAAAGGGATGAAGAGAAGGAAGAGAATAGAAAGGAGAGAAAAGAAGGTACAATAACCAGAAGCCGGTATTTAAGGTTAAAAAAAAATGTCACAACATACCAATGTGGACTCCATATCTGTTTACACCTTGTGAGAAGTGATCTCATGAAATGTTGTGTACTTTTTACCTGAGAAGCCCCTTTTTAAAAGAAATCAAGGTAGTAGTACTGTGTAAATAGACATACATGCTGTAAACATAACATGAAAGGTTTGAAACACCCCCCTCCAAAAACAAGCCCTACCATAATACATAAAGAGGCAGAACATGCCAACGCTGACTCCATGTCTGTTTACACCTTTTGAGGAGTGATCCCATGAAACGTTGTGTACTTTTCACTTGATATGCCTCTTGAAAGAAAGCAAGGTACATGTGTGAACTGTGAATAGACATATACATGCTGTAAACATAACATGAAAGATTTGGTCTTATAAAGGTCACAATAACATGGGCAGTGATATGTTCTGTTTGCTTTGCAATGTGCACCTTACCAAAAACAAACTGTCAAGATACTACATGTTATCTTGCTCTGAGTATGTGTATGAATGTACTATATTTGGCCTCAAATAACATCATTCCAGAATTGTGCATTTACTTGCAGTGTAGGTCTATATTTCTAATGCTTGTGTGTGTGTGATTTCCAAATAAAACTTGACCCAACCTTTTCTTACATTGAGAACCCCTGAAGGTCAATAATCCTTCTCAACAAAAATATGCTCTGCTAAAGTAGAGAAGCTTCTTTTTTCTTCTTCATTTTAAAAGCAGAGGACTTAAACTTGATACACCAATATCCATTGCTGAACCTTGCGAGGAGATCATCTCGGCAACATTCTCTTAGATGAAATTAGAGCTTGGAAAATATACAATTTGATCCGTCTCTTTATTTGAGAGTGAATGTTAAGTGTGGGTGAGTGATTGCTGTCATATACACAGGCCATAGCTATGTCCAGGATTCTTCCCTCGGCATCTACTCGTCCATGTTGAGCATCACAAGGGGATTGAAAGTGTTGGTCCAGATTGGAGATTGAAAATGAGTTTTAATACCAAACTTGGAAATCAAAAATGAAAAGCCTGTAAAAAAGAGAAAGAACAATGAAATATGAGTAAAAGAGTCAGTCTCAAACTACCTATCTTGTTGTTCACATACTTATTGTAGGCGTATTTGCCCTTACTTATTTTTCTAGATTGGCTCTATCCACAGGTTTGTGGTAATATTGGATTATCTGTGATCTGTTTGCTTCACATTGAAAAGAATAGCTGGATTTATTAAATAAAAGAAGTCCAAATCGATTATCTTGATCATTAGAACAATTACAGGCTCATAAAATTCAATAGGTTTATACCAGAAAGCAATTTGGAAAGGAAGGTAACTGATCATAGATTTTTTTTTTTTAATGGGGGGGGGGGGGGGAATTGAGTTTGGATTATATTGTTCAGATCAGAAAATCATTCATCGCAATCAAACTAATCATATCAACAACTTTCGATACCTCCTACAGCTAATACCACAATGTACTATAAGCTCTCTATAGTATTCTTTCTCCTGTATGGCTTGACAGACATGGCATGGCAGGAGCACAGTTTTCAAGAACTGCGCACGTGAGGCTAGCTGGCAGGCCGCCTGTCCTGACATTCCCAACACAAATTTCATTAGAAATAACCAGGTGATGATGGAAAAGGTACAAGTGCATACTATACTGCTTTCGCTTTAGATTACCACACATTTATCCGTGATGCCAGTATAGTGTTAGGTTTGAAGCTGTGATTTAGCACAAACTGTGCAGTCACTTTAATGCTCTTGCCACAATTTTCCTAAATGAACATTCATTCTGTTTTTAAAAAAACACTTTATTATTTGCTGTTCATGGCTATTTCATATCTTTTCTCTGTCCACTTTTTCTTTTTCTCTCTATGAAAAAGAAAAAGGCATATTTGTATAGCGATCTAAAATCTTGAAAAGGAAGTTGTGAATATTCCCTGCTCAGGGGTCCTCATTTATGGTCAACTTCTTTTTGTGTTTTAATTTTTACGTCCTCTTGTCCATCACTTTCTATTTACTAGAAAGTACCTCATTTTACAGAAATTTTATCAATACCAGCAATGGACTCATTTACACTACAGTCCAAATACCATAGTTTTTAAAACTAAAATCACAATGTTATGATGGAAGTTGCTTAGGAACTATAGCAACATGTTTGGACTTAAATGTAAACAGCCCCTTTTATTATACCATTGTACTTCAAGCTTGGGGATGGTCCACCATGTCCCTCCTACATCTCATTTTTAAAACGCTTTATAAAAGGACAGTTTACGGAGACTGAAGAAGTTAAATCCCTCCCAGTAGAGATTCAAAACCCTCTGTCCATACCATCTTCCTTTGTCTTCCAGTCCCTTTAACAATGTTTTCCTGCCTGGAGGGGTGTGTTTCCTGCTCGCATTAGAACATTTCCCTCCTGGTAGGAAGTTGGAAATCGTGGTATGAACTAGGTGAGCCAATTCCCGGCTACCTTTGTGTATTCTTTTGTGGCTTTGGAAACATTTGGGAATCAATTTTTTACTTTAGGATTGTTTGGGGGTTTGTTTCATGGATCCTAGGAAGATGCATACATTATGGTGCCCTGTAGCTTCCTAGGGGTACAACAAGGTGTCAGCATAAACACCCCCATAAACCTCTGTTCCAGTTAGCACTCAATATGTATTTAGGCCAACAGTGCTTTGACTTGTTGTGGCAATTTAAAGCTAGGCCAAAAATATTACCTCTTCAGAGTATTTCTGTCAATAGATACCATTTAAGAGGCGTTTCGATTTGTAATGTTGTCATCAAACACTCCTACTCACTTCTTAACAAAGATGAAGATTTTTTTACTCTCAAAATATTGCCCTTTTTATACAAAAGATTGGGAGGATAATTATATCAATTTGCCCTTGGGTAGACATCACTTCATTGTGATTTAGCATTGGTGACTCGTGAACCATTTCCAATTCATGGGCACAATACAAATAAAGCAATTACCCGTTTTTCAAAAAGATAGCCCCATTAAGTTATCTCTTCTCTGTCACTACATTTGTATTTCAAACCAGCCTTCGGATAACTTCACATCTTTTATTCTATTTCATATGCATAGCAGATAAAAGATTCTTAAAGGTTATATGCAATCCTGTTAAAGTTTATTGGATTGAAGTCTACAAGAAGAATGATGATGTGAGTTGCTTTATACTCTCGGGCTAGCAGAAGATTGAGACAATTGCATCTCTGAACAAGGAAGGAACCTAGCTATATAGACAAGTGACTTAAAAAACACTAAGTAATACAGCATCGTTGATCTGCTTACTGTTTTTTCTTTATCCAATTACATTCCATGAACACTGCCATGTTACAGTTATTTGTAGATTCTTCTTGCTGATTGCTTGTGCACAACCTCTTTGTTTCAATGTGCATTTCAGAGGAGAAGAGCTGCTAACCCAAGTCAGCAAGCAAAAGTGCATCCGTGGAAATAGGCTCTCCGCAAAAGGGCAGTGTCAATAAATACAATCTGCTTGAACCATCACCTTTAAAAAATTGTTTTGGTTCTGTACTATTGTAGTGGTTGAACAGAAAAATCCAGTTCATCGTTTAAATGGGTAAATTTTCCTTCTACAGTGATATAATTACAAATTGAGATCTTCCTGCTAAAAATGCCGATGTGGAGGAAGTTCATAAATTATTCTACTTTGGTTCTTTGTGCCGTCAAGGTTAGATTTTGAAAAGCCAGGTACTTGCCACTTGGACTTGATTCTTGGATGAAATTATACCCTTATTGCTGTACTGGAAAACTATCATTCATTAGGTAAGTTTTCATTAATGTTTTTCATATTTTATTTGTAAATGGAATGAAATTGTTGAGATGGAGACTAAATGAGTCCTATTTGCCATTTGCTGTTTGGCATGTGCGAAGATTTTAAAAACTTGAAGAAGAGAAGCTACATGCAGATGATTGTTGGCTTTGTCTTCAAGATGAAGTCATCTGTTATCACTTATTCAAAGTGAGATTTCATGAAGAAGGTTGGTCCTTCGACATGTATTACATGTACATTGAACCTACGATCTCAACGTCGTCATACATAGCTTTCTTATCTTTTCACCTTCTTCAAAATCCATGAATTTCCAAACAATTTTTTAGAAATCCTCTAAACATATTTTTTCTCTCTCAAAGTCACAAGGTTCAATCAAATTTACCTACTTTCATCTTCCAAATCCTTGACAGGATTGAATAGCTTTAGAGCAAGGATACAATAGTATAAGAAAACAAAATGGCTTCTCTTTCCCCTCTATGCACAGCCATAGAGCAACAAGGTTCTCTTTTATCCTGACTGTTATTCTTTCTTCTTATATCAGATTTAGCTCTTTTTTTCTTTCACTTTTTTCTCCTGAGTAAGTTTTAGTCAAAATATTGGATGTGACAGGCTCTCTTTGCCTGTAGGTATGAAGATTGAAATTGTGAAGTCAGCTGTGATAATGGTCAATTGGATTGGGTTATATCAAGATTATAAAACAGAGATGTCAGATGATGAAAATTATTTAAACTACAATACTAGAACCTGTTGGAAGAGTGTCAGTTTGACTATAATTATCATGGCACATCAAAGAATATGCACAGTTTTAGTGGACAGTATTGACCCAGTCTCTACAATATCTATAGAAATTGATTTTTTGTTTGTTGTTGTTTCCATTTGAATTGAATTGGATCTTTACTCCGATAGTTCTCCATTATACATCACCTTTTTGTGTTTTCATTTGCACTGACAAATATGGATCACCCTTTATATGTACACTTACAATCTATAACAATATAATCTTACACCTATTAACATTTTTTGACCTCTTTAATTTTTGTTCTTCTCAAGCATACATGCATAATACACAGCATGAAACATGCCTTTAATATTTGCAAGTCTTTTGTTGCTTAGAGAGAGAGAGAGAGAGAGAGAGAGAGAGAGAGAAAGAGCTAGAAGGCCTATGACTGATGGCCATTACTTCTAGGTTATGTACACAAATTACCTATTATTCTATTGAAGCAGAACTTCCAATCTGCAACATGTAGCGTGGGCTAGCTCACCACAGTATACTGTTCATTCCGCAGCCATGAGAAAATCGTTGCAGAAATGAGTCATACTCGGGACAAAAGTATCTCATATTGGAATCAGAAGTATTGAAAGACAAGTCTCGTCCATATATACTAGCAACCATCGATACTTCATATAGCGGTTTAATTAGCTGCTGGTTATGATATCGTAATTGATTTACGGCTTAAATACTGGTATATACGCTGGTAGCGAGCAGTCTCTGCAGGACTGCTAATTAATGATATGGAGTGTAATATGTTTGGAGATGAGTACAGATTATGGGGTATAATATTACACTACGACAGACAGAAGAAAAATAGAAGCATCATGGCAGCTCTAGGCATGAGTTTGATTAATTTGATGAGAAGTGTTTGTCGGTAATGTAGGTGTTGAACTGAAATTCAGTTTGCAGTACATTAAAAGTACTGAACAAAGTTTGCGCATCTTCCGATCTAATTACTTATCAAAAGTAAAAACGATTTTTGTATTCCCTCTATTAAGTGATGGACAATATTTAAATTTGGGTCAGTATCCTTGCTTGTGCAGAAGGATATATTGAAATATCCATGATCTTTCCAGTTTTGTATCTAGTTTGATATCGAGCATTTGATATGGATTTTGAACCATTCGTGTTGTGTAAGGGCTATATGTGCTTAAAGTGAAGAAGGGGAGAGACAGACAGAGAGAAAGAGAGAGAGAGAGAGAGATGGAGATGATAGCAATGTGTGGGAGTACTTGTGACCAATCCACTTGTGGGAATCTATTACATGACCTTTGACCTAACAAGCTATTTATTAACCATCAAGTTTATGTCAGTTGTCAAGTCCCATATCCAGATTGTATTGACTGGACCTGATTTACATGTATGTATGTAAAGTCAAACTTTTTTCTTTGACCATGTTGACAGCCTCAAAGGTAGGATGAGATGATGATTTTTTTTTCCTTTTATAGATGAAAGAAAAAGTTGAATAAAAGGAGAAAGAACAAACATTATAAAAGTGTGCAAGGGAAAGGGAAATTTAGTTCATGAAAAGTGAAATTGGCACATTTAAAACATCTAATCCAGAGATGTTGACAGGAGAGCAGTTGAAAAGAGATTGTGAAAAGAGAAACATGAATCATGTTGGATGCAGAATTAGGGATTGAAAAGGATGGATGGATAGTGAGAGTGTATAAGAAGAAAAAGAGGGAGAAGAAAGCTCAAAGGAAAGGTTGATAAAGGTTGTAGGAAGGTCGGAGAGCATCTTTTTGACAGGTTGTGATGTGTGAAAGAGAGAGAGGGGGGGGGGGCATCTCTGGCAGTTCAAGTACATATTTTGAAGTTATAGAGATTTTCTGAACTGTCAACCTTTGACCTTTGAGTGTGAATTTCCCATAGTTGTCATCTCACTTAGAGGCCTTCTATAAGCTCACCTTTCAATGCAGTGTTTAGCAGTATTTGGTACGATGAAAGATGAGCTACATTTATGCATAGGCCATTTGAGATACACAAGAATAAACTACAAAGTTTGTCAATGTAATGACATAATGACATCTTAGGTCAAATTTCAGGTTTTTCAACCTTCACCATCGATAGTAAAACAAAAAAAACTTTTGCAACATGAAACTTAAGAAGTTGTTTATGATGATTGTTTCATTGCTAGCATTTTCTAGAATTGCTAGAACATGGTGTTATGATTTTTATGACGTTAATGATTAATTCATTTTGTGGCATAAAACTATCACAATCCTGGGCCACTAGGAACAGTAGACAAATGTTTTGGGATTTACAGTAGATCATGAGGCTTCTCAAAGAATCTTGTTAACAACTCCTGTTTAGAATTCCTGAATCTCTCTTGAAAAGTATAAAAACCATGGTCTTGAAACTTGTTGGCTCTTTCTTGACATTTTGACCTGCAGCTGGACAAGGTAATTTAGGTATTACATTCACATGACCTTGACTCATAATTCATGACACTGACAAGTTGGCAACAATTGCTGCCACCTGTTGTTTGTGAGCTGTGCGTGGTTGACTTCCAGTCATGAGTAATGCCTCAACATTCTCAACGCTCACCTTGCTACAACATTGGGCAGTGCTTTACCCAGCCCCTTGAAGTAACACAATCCTTCATTACACTTTAAGGCTTATTACATTGTTCTTATATCAAAACTAACTAAGCTTGTGTGAAACTCGTATTTTCACATGATTGGTTAATAGTAGCCTCACAGAGCTGAAAAAGCACTTTCTTGTTGTGTTTGGATTTCTGCCCGACTGCATGAGCAAGCCCAACAACCTTTATTGTTGATTGGATGTAGAGCGGTCAGACCTAGTCTCATTAAAAGTCTATAAAATACATAACTTTCTAAGCCTTTAATATTTTTGTCAAGTTCACATTTCATAATCTTGCCTAGAGTGAGTAAACATTTGGGAGAGAGTTATGAAAATTGATTGGACAAAATAAATCTCATCAGGAGAAAGAGGACAATAAATTGGAATAAATTGGAATGGTGTTCAAATTACATGAAGAGTCATCGTCATCTTCCATCAAAATTTCCTGCGCTGGTCCAAATTTTCCCACAGTCCTACTTTTCAGACTTCAACAAAGTGTCTCCATCAATGTTTATTCCCATAAACAACCACAGTACACATGGTCCGAATTAGAAGCATTCAACTATAGCCAGCTTGATGGACTTGTTGAAAACATACCGTCCAATAATACATGTGGGACTGTCATCATGAAATATATACAACCGTTAGAGCTCTCGTCCTCTTGTACTCATGAACATATTGCATTATTGAACTTGAAAATGTCCAATTTGTACAGTTACCTAGCTTATATGAGGGCTTCATGCTGTGTGAGGTATTCATCATGCACCCATTGTTTTTTTGCTTCTCACAAGATATTCCTATGAATGTTCATCAGTTTTGTCATCCATGTGTCACTTTTAAACTAATCCCACCTGCAGTTAAACATGGCTTTAATATAGCCTCTAATCACCTGTCTTATTTAGGCCCTTCAAACACATACTTTGAAAGTGAAATCTATTTCATTTCCAGAAACAGAAAGATATGTTTTTGTATTAACTCTCTAGTATATGTAATCCACATTGCCATATGACTTTGTAAGTACAAATGTCAAACAAATTCATCTACCGGTATGTAAATATATCTAGTCCAACTCCAATGATTATTAGCATTTGATCAAATTACTCATTATTTGTATTAAAAATGAGGTCAATGTCAAATGAAGAGATGATCTTTTTAGTCAATGTCATATTTATATATTCATTATTTCATAGTAAGCCCTAAGGCATTGACTACTATCATTCAAATCATATTTGAGATACATATACTTCCTGAATAAGGGCATTCAGATTTGTATGAGCATGTTCACGAAGGTAATTTTCAACACAGCTTGATATGTAATGAGATTTATTTCGATCGGTACCCTTTAGTCATCATCACTGACCTTGAACTTACCTGAGAGAAGAGGATTCATCCAGACAAAGATCTGATAGGACACCAGTCTTGTTTCAATGCCATTTTGATGTCATCATGCAAATTGGTGAATACTGTGAATGACAAATCCTACTTCTACCTCTCCTACCCTGACTTACATGTCTTTTTTCTTTTCTTCCTTTGAGTGAATGGCAAGTATGACGCATACAGACATCTTTAGGTTCACTCACCCACAACTTTAATTCTGTTGTGTACTTTTCCCAAGATTGTCTTCCTTCGCCAAAT